TGGGTAGAATTCTCAGATGGCCCTCCTGATGTTTGCCCTCTGGTTACATGGCAAGAGGAATTTTGTCCCCATGATTAAGATTACTAATTAGCTGACCTGAAGACTGAAAGATGGGTTGGCCTAAAATCAGAGTTTTCTTCCACTGGTAGTAGAAAAGGCAGTCAGGGCGGTTCAAAGCTGGAGACGGATCTGACGTGAGGGAGTTTCTCCATCGCTGAGGGGGAGGGCCCCACGGGCAGGACCTCTGGAAGCCGAGACCCTGGCCGACAACCAGAAAGAAGGCGAGGCCTCAGTCCTGTAGCCACAAGGAATGGAATCCTACCGACAGTATGAACGGACCGGGGAGCAGGATGCTTCCCCAGAGCTTCCAGATAAAAACCCAACCCAGCCGGCACCTTGACTTGACCTTGTGAAACCCTAAGCAGAGAACCCACCTGGATTTCTGGGTGTTCAGACAGCTGACCCCTGAACAACAAGGTTTGAACTGCACGGGTTCACTTACATGCAGATTTTTTTCATCTTGTAAACAGACAATGTAAACTTACAGTACTATAAATTATTTTTTCTTCCTTATGATTTCCTTAATAACATTTCCTCTTCTCTAGCTTACTTTATTGTAAGAATACAGTGTATAATACATATACAAAATATGTGTGAACCAACTGTTTATATTATTGGTAAGGCTTCTGGTCAACAATAGGCTCTTACTATTTAAGTTTTGGGGGAGTCAAAAAGTTATTCTTGGATTTTTGACTATTCAGAAGTAGGGTTGGCACTCCTAACCACTGTGTTAAGGGTCAACTGTGGGTGTTATTTTAAACTACTAAGGTTGTGCTACTGTGTTGTGCAACAATAGAAAATTAATATGGCACCCACATGTAGAAAAAAGTTTTATCGCCATTTTCCAAGGGAGGAGGGCCAGAGAAGTGTGGTCATTGCCCAGTAGTGGCAGAGCTGAGAAGATGCTGGGGCAGAGGTCACCAAACAATTTCTATAAGGGTCCAGATAGCAAACAGTTTAGGCTACATGGTTTCTGCCACAACGTCTTAATTCTAACGTTGTAGCACAAAAGTAACATGGAAAGAAAGAACTTGGCTGTGCTCCAATAAAACTTAATTTATGGTCACTAAAATTTGAATTTTGTAAAATTTTCCTGTATAAAATGGTATTCCTCTTTTGATGTTTGTCAACAATTAAAAGAAATGTGAAAAACTCTTTTCAGTTAGTAGGCCATATGAAAACAGGTAGTGAGCCCAATTTGGTTTGTGAGACATAGTTTGCCGAACCCCCAACCTCAGGTGCCTGACTCCTAGTTCAAATATCGTCCTTCTGCAGAGTAGCTAACAGATGGGTGAAAAGGGCTCTGGATGTCATAAATCTAGGTCTGCATCCCTGTTGTACCCTATTTTGCTGTGTATAATGTGCACCCACATTTCTGTGCGCATTATACACATGATTGTTATACCCATGGCACGTACTCATTATACCCATGTATAATGTGCATCCTTATTTTTCCCTCAAAAATTTGGGCAAAAAAAGTGCACATTATACACAGCAAAATACGGTACTTCAGATTCGCTGTGTCACTTCAGGCAATTCACTTTCCTTTCCTGGACCTATAAAAACAGAAATCAAAGCAGACAGTGGTTTTTAAAACTTTTCTCCACCCATTTCCCAGCCCCAGGATTCCACGCCCCCCCTAAAAAAAAAAAAAAACCTGACACAGAACTCTAGCGTCAAAAACCAATCAAAAGGGCACAGCTTCTGACTGGCTGGGGGAGGGGCCAGGGTCCCTGCCTGCTCCTGCCCCCTCCGCCCTTTCTGCTCTTTCTGTATAAGAGACATGCTGGGAGGTCTGGTTTCAAAGTTACATCTTAAAGTTTCTGAGACTTTTCTATGGCATATGGAAAAAACAGGCCTCAATTTTTAGAATCTCAGGTTTATTTTCTCTTACATTTCTTTATATCACATAAAGAAATTGCTTTCTCTCTGTGGAACACAGGCTGGTTATCTCTTGAACAAGGTAGTCTCCAAAGCCTAACTAAGACATCTAAACCAGGGCTTCTCAGCTTTGGCACTTGACACCTGGGATGGGATCATTCTAATCTTTAAGGGCGCTGTGCTGTGCACTGTAGGATGTTTAGATGCCAGTAGCACTCCCCCTCCCCCACAGTTAACACAATTGTGACAACCAAGAATGTCGCCACACACTGCCAAATGTTCTCTGGAGGTTGGGGGTGGGCCAAATTGCCCTGGGTTAAGAACACTGGCCTGAACCCCCTCTTTTAGGAAGCCAAACCTTAGAATCCTGTTCCTTTTGGGCATTAATGAATGTGCTCGAGATCTTTCTTTAGAGACCTTAGGCCACCCTCGACCCTGACCAGCCTTGGCTGCATTGCTGGCAGACCTTGAGATGTCCCCACCTCATGAGCCTTCTTCCCTACAGAAATGAGCGTGTGCCTAGGCAGGAGACAGAACCATGCACCACTATTGCACATCCATGCTCTTCACTACTTATAGTCACGGTAGGCCTACTGTGTGCCAGCTTCGAGATGGCACGGGGAGGGTGGGGTGGGGCTAGGACACAAGATGTCCATATCTGCCCTGAGGATGCTGTCTATAGGGGAGCCAGGTATGTAGGCATAAAACCAGAATGCAGTGAGTTATGCGAAGATGTTCATGAAAAAGTGTGTGAATTGAAAATAAAAGCTATTAAAAATGGTATACAATGTATGACCAGATTTTTGTAAATTTGGAAGGAGTTATATCAGAATGTTATAGCAGTTGGTTGTTTATAGGTTGTGATCCTGCAAAAAGATGCTGGACCCCTGTTCTGGAGGGAGGAGGTGGAGCAGGGAGGGAGGGGGAAGGGAGGATCTTGGATTCTTTCATTGCGTCTCTCCTACTTACAGATAGAACAATTACAATTATAATAGCCAGTATTACTAAGTACTCACTATAAGCCAAGCACTATTGCTAAGCACGTTATATAATAATGCACTTGACTCTCATAACAACTGTAAAAGGCCTGATTCCAGTGTTTATTTCTCACTGCTTCTCCAAATGTGGCCGTGGGCCCCAGAATTATCGGCCCCAGAGGCTGGGCAGAGCCTGTGCAGATGAGGCTGCATTTTGGGAAATGTTTTTCTTTCTTTACAGGTCGACAACTGTTCTTCATCTGTGAAGGGGGATGTTCTGCATGTGGATCTGGAAGATTCAGACTGACACAGATTTTGACACCTCCTCTCTCGACCCCTACCCCCTGCCTCTCACTTATTAGCTGTGTGACTCTAGGTGAGGCACTTGTCTCCCAGCCTTGATGATTTTGCTGAGTGACAATTAAACAAGAAAAACAAATATAATATTGTCTGTCAACTGTAACTGAAAAATAAATGAAAACACACACACACACACACACACACACACGAGCCCTGGCCAGGTATCTCAACTTGAGCACTGTCCTGATACACCAAGGTCGTGGGTTTGATCTCTGGTCAGAGCACAAAGAAGAAGCTACCAATGAATGCATAAATAAGTGGGAGAACAAATTGATATTTCTCTCCCTTCTCTCTCTCTCTCTCTAAAAAAAAATCAATAAATAAAAATTTTTAAAAAACACACAAGAAAAATGGCTGGCAGGCGACATTTATAATACGTGGTCACCAATTTTCTCCTTCGAGCCTTCGACCTAGTGCCAGGGGACATCCAAGGCTGCTTGCTCAGAAAGGGTCTGCAAGTATACCCAAGGCTGTGGGGCTCCCCGGTGCTCCCAAAAGGTGGGGAAGAGGAAGCCAGAGCCAGGAGAACTGGGCCAGGTCCCTTGGCTTCAGTCAGGACATAGTCCCAGAGGTGCTGGCCCTGCTGGGACTGGCTGGGTCTTGAACCAAGTCACATCTGGTTCCTGCCCTATCACCGAATGAGGAGGTGCACAAATAGAGCCCCTGTAATTCCCGAGTACATCCTACCTGCTCTGTGGGGAATCCTTGGCATGGCTGAGGGGAGTCAGGCCCTGTCCCCTGCCTTATGGGAGCAGCAGGAAAAGACAAAAACAAAACCCAGACCTAGGCTGGTTTGGGAATGGGCTCCCTTCGAGCCACATGAACTTAAGATTTTCCTGTGACTTTGTCCGGTCTTTGCATGTGCTACTCCTCCAGCCTGGGTGCTATGCCCCATTCCTACTTTTCTAAGACAACTCAGGTGTCCTCCCATAGAAGAATTCTCTCTCTCTCTCTCTCTCTCTCTCTCTCTCTCTCTCACACACACACACACACACACACACACACTGACCCTCCTTCCAGGTGCCCAAATCACCTGACTACAAAAACTGCTTTTAGCCTGTACGTGCTAAATGGCCCAGCCCTTAACCTGGACTACTTAACTGATTCAGTCCTCAGGGACTTGTGAGCTGGGATCTTCAATCCTCCTTTGACACAGGAGGTTCAGAGCAGTTAGGACACACCTTATTATCTGGGAGGCCCGGCTGTCTCTCAAGCCCCTGCTCCCTGGCCTCTGGTAGGCTGGGGTTAGAAACCTGGGGTAGGAGCTGGGGAAGCACTTAAATGTGGGCTATTATTTCTGAGAAAGCCTTCCTCCTCTGCATGTGAGGTCTTGGGGTGGGGGTCTCCATGGGCTTGCTCCCAGGTTGACCTCTGTGAAAAGAAAAAGCCAGTTACAGAAACGGAGTTTGCGGTATAACACAGGCCTGTGACTTTCCGGCTTGGAGCCCTAGATTTCCTTGCTGTAAGATGGGAGTGAGGAGGCTTGGGCTCCGGAATCCTGGGTCCCTCTCTGACTGAACGTCGAAGGCTCTGGAGCAGTTCTTCTGCGTTCCCAAGCCCGCCCCAGGCGCTCCCCGGCTGGAAAACCTTAACCCTGCCATCCCCGCTGGCGCTGTTGCTTTAAGGTCGGGCGGGGCCGCGGGGCGGTGGCGCGGCACCTGGAGCCGCCCGGAGCGGGTCCTCGGAGTCTCCGCGGGTCCCTGCGGCGCGCGAGGAGGCGGATCCCAGGAGGGGAGGGGCTGGCCGCGCCCAGGGCCAGAGCCCAGACTGCCCCGCTGCAGTCGGCCAAGCTCCAGTGCCGGGGCCTGGGCGGGGGTCGGTCACCTCGCGGGTCGAGGGCGAAGGCCAGGCTCCGTGCTCCCTCGGGGTAGCAGAGCTGCTGCGGGGCGCGCGGCACCGGGTTCCGCGCCTGCCGGGTGAAGTCGGGCTCGGCACCTCCGCTTCGGGTGCAGGGCGGCGGGAGCGGACGGGGCGGACGGCGGCTGACGGGCGGGAGACCTGCGAGATCTCGGGTCTCCCCCGTCCGGGACGAGACCCGGAGCCCGGCCTAGCGCCTTTGCGGGGCGCGGAGAGCGGGGCTAGGGGACCAACACCAGGGCCACCCCGCTAACGGTCCGCCGCCTCCGCAGACCCGGAGGACGCCGTTTCCAGGTTCGCACCGCTCTCCGTCCGACAGCCACGATGCCTTTACCCGCGCCACGCTCCCTGCGCCTGGACCGCGCCTGACCGCCTGCCGCGCCATGGTTGCGCCCAAGGTGGGTACAAGCTTCCTCGTCTTCTTCCTTCGGGAGCATCTCAGCTCCTCCTGAGGTCCGCCCCATCTGGACCCTCACTCTTTCCCTTGACCACGGAGGCTTGGCGGGCAGTCTGCACACTCACGTCTCTTCCTGTGTTCTAATTTGCTGAGTAGCCTTGGGCCATGACGCTCAGGGCCTCAGTTTACCCGGTGGTTAGGCGGAGATGGTTTGGACCACTTCTGGTTCAGGCGGAGATGGTTCATTTCTTTACAGGAAACCGGCACCTAAACTTCCCTTGTTGGCAGAACGCAACACGGTGCTGTTGGGCCGATTTCACGGAGGAGGGAAGGGAGGCACGGAGAACCCAGGTCACGTGCCCAGTGTCAGAGCTAGGGTCCATCCTCTGTCCCGCTCTGCCCGTGTCACCGTGCTTGGCCCACAGCTTGCCATCTTGGCATCTCATCTTCACAACTGCTCACTACTTAGCAGGGGGGAGGCTGTGAAATGAGGGCCCTGGATGGGGCCAGAGGGCTCCCCAGGCTGATAGAGCAACACATGCGGAGGCGCCCTGGGGGCAGGAGTTTGGATGTGCTTGTGTGTGGGAGTGTGAGGGAGATGAGGGAGCGCCAGCCTGGCAGGCCCTGACTGAGTGCCAGGGCCAGGAGTGGGACTTCTCTGGGGCGGAGGTGATTCCCTCCAGGGCATGGAGCTCTTTCTTCCGCCCCCATCAGGATACTGGACACAGACGTGTGAGAGGTGAAAGGTTTAAGCTGCCTGAAGGTCCCCTCTCTGAAGCAGGTCAGGGGAATCTTGAGCCAGGACACCCTGCTGCTGATAATCAGAGATCTGATCTGTAACAATAATGAAAACCACTGCACAGCAGCAGACAGGCTGTCCTTCATCCAGTGGACACTGACGCCCTCCATCCCCCCAGGGTGGCAGGTTAGCACGTGGCCCGCCGGCCCATGGCGGGATCCATATGGCAGGAGGGAGGCCCACAGAGAGGGAGATGACCTCAGCCGTGAGAAGATGCTAGTGGCACTTGCAGGGACTTGTCTGAGGAGGACAGTGCATTCTGGAGAGTGAGAACTGCCTGTGCTAAAGACTTGCAGATAAATCTCTTCACAGCAAGGTCTCAGCTTTATACACTAAATAATATAGATAGATCTAGCTGTACACACACACAGGGATTTGAGTCAGACTAGACCTGGGTTCAAATTTGGTCTTGACAATAATGATCTTGGACTGACTGTCACTCTCATAACCTCATGTCCTCGAGACATATTGCTGCTGTGAGGATTAAGTGAGGAGACCCCTGTAAAGTGCTTGGTGTGGTGTCCAGCCCGTGTGAATGCCCAGCCACTGCCTGCTGCCACTATCATCGTGTATGTAGGCTGAGGGAGAAATGGGACGTCCACATGGGGATCAGCTCATCTGAGGAGCAGGCTGAACGATAATTTCTGTTTTGCATTTTTATACCCTGCTGCGGTTTTCTCCTCTTCCCACAGCAAAAAGCATCGTTAAGTTACCTCATGTAGGAATGAGTTCTCCAAGCATCGAGAAACCTAGTTATACTGGGTGTGGGCAAAGCCCCTCACCTTTCTGGCTCCCGTTTCCTTATTTGCAAAGCAGGAATTTCTTACCTGCCCTGTTGTGGGGAGTCAGATGAGATGCTGGGTGTGAAGGGCAACTGTCAAGGGCTGTAATATACAGTCCAGGGCTTACAATGATTGATTGGCTGGGTATTTTTTTCACGCTGGTATTGGTTTCTCCAGCTTTTCCTCTTGACTGCGTCTCCTAGCTGTCTGGCTTTGGGAGGTGGGTAGTCAGGTTCTTTTTCTCCCCCCATAAAAATGCCTTGAGCTGGAGACAGGAGGTACTTTCCGCAAAGACATGTCCATGGGAAGAGAACTGCAGGTACTTTACAAACGGTGTTTTTCTGTGTACCCTGGGTGGTCTTAGGGTTCAGAATTATTGGGGTTCACTCCTAGAGTACCTTGTTACACGTATAGATCCTCTCTCACACATGCGCATGCACACACATATGCCCACATGCACATTTTCTTTTTGATAACATGAGTGGATTTATTTCTTAACCACACACACATTTTTAAAACACACTTGGAAGCATGCCCTTTTAAAAAAAACTAATGTATTTTAGATTATAATTGACATACAGTATTATATTAGTTTCAGGTGTACCACATAGTTATTCAACATTTATATGTCTTACAAAGTGATCACCATAATAAATCTAGTAACCATCTGCCACCGTACATAGTTTATTCAATGTTATTGACTCTATTCCCTAAGCTGTACTTTACATGCCTGTGACTTATGTTGTAACTGGAAGTTTGTTCATCTTAATTCCCTTCCCCCTTCCACCCCTCCCCCCACCCCTCTGGTGAGAACATGCGCTTTTGAAATCTCATGCTTCACCTACTGTATCCTGAACATTGCGCATGCCCCTCTGCTCCCCTAGGAGCATGCCTTTGAATGGCTGCACAGCCAGGCATTGTTCCGATGCTGGGCAAGCTCCCATTTGGAAGGTGTTTCTGGCCATTGTGGTCTCCCTGAGGTCTGTGAGTTCCCCACTTCTCTGGCTCAGCTCTTGGAAGAGGAGACGGTGCCATAGTAAGTTCTAGCAGCCTGCTGGAGCACCTGCTCTTTGTGCAGGTGAGGCGGCAGGCCCAGAGCAGTGGAGAGCCCTACCCCAGGACACGGCTGGCGAGCGGCAGGGCGGGCACCAACGCCGGGCCTCTGCTTCGTGGCAGGTGCTGGAGCAGCTGGCATCCGAGGGAATCCTCCCCTCGCCCTGCTCCTCCCAGCCGTGAGGCAGGCTTTTCACACAACAAGCATTTGGCCAGCAACACTTACCCTCATTTAAGGGAATTTCTTTAGCAGATTTTTTTTTAGCAGCCATTATGTGTTAGGCACTGGGGGACAGAGCAGTGAACAGGGCCAGTATGGACAGCAAAGGAGCAGTTAACCACAGGCAGATACGTCCTGTGGTCTAATAAGGCTGAGGGGATCAGGTGTTGAAAGTGTCTTGGGTGGGGGCCGAGCTGAGCCTTGAGGGGAGATAATGGCCAGTTGCCAGGCAGAGGGAACAGCGTGTACAATGTGTGTTTCAGCCCCTTCCTGCCTGTATGTCTTAGGCCAGGTTTCCTCCCAGTGTGGTTTTTTCCCTGTGTATTTTTTCTTTACCTAATTGAGATAACACTATATGTATAATTAGGTATACTAAGTTGAAAAAAGTAAGGTCTTGAAAATATTTCCCCCCTTTTGTTAAATATTTGTGCTGAGCTTGATTTTTTAAAATATGTATTTTATTGATTATGCTATTACAGTCGTCCCACTTTTTTCCTCCCCTTTTTTCCCCTCTGCCCTATATCCCCCCCACCAGCATTCCCCCCACCCCCACCCTTACTTCATGTCCATGGGTGGTACATATAACTTCTTTGGCTTCTCCATTTCCTATACTATTCTTAACCTCCCCCTGCCTATTTTGTATCTACTATTTATGCTTCTTATTCCCTTTAACTTTTCCCTGATTCTCCCCCTGCCCCCTCCCTGCTGATCTCCATTTCTGTGATTCTGTTCCTGTTCTAGTTCTTTGCTTAGTTTGTTTTTTGGTTTTTTTTAGGTTCAGTTGTTGATAGTTGTGAGTTTGTTATGATTATACTGTTCATAATTTTGATCTTCTTTTTCTTAGATAAATCTGTTTAGCATTTCATATAATAAGGGCTTGGTGATGATGAACTCCTTTAACTTGACCTTATCTGGGAAACACTTGATCTGCCCTTCCATTCTAAATGATAGCTTTGCTGGATACAGTAATCTTGGATGTAGGTCCTTGCCTTTCATGACTTTGAATACTTCTGTTGAGCCCTTTCTTGCCTGTAAGGTTTCTTTTGAGAAATCAACTGATAGTCTTGTGGGAACTCCTTTGTAGGTAACTGTCTCCTTTTTCTCCTGCTGCTTTTAAGATTCGTTTCTTATCTTTAATCTTGGGGAATGTCATGATGTGCCTTGGTTTGTGCTTCCTTGGGTCCAACTTCTTTGGGACTGTCTGAGCTTCCTGGACTTCCTGGAAGTCTATTTCCTTGGCCAGATTGGGGAAGTTCTCCTTCATTTTTTTTTTCAAATAAGTTTTCAATCTCTTTCCCTTCCTCTTTTCCTCCTGGCAACCCTAAGATTCAGATGTTGGAACATTTAAAATTGTCCCAGAGGTTCCTCAGCCTCTGCTCATTTTTTTGAATTCTTGTTTCTTCATTCTGGTCTGGTTGAACGTTTATCTCTTCCTTCTGCTCCCAATCGTTGATTTGAGTCCTGGTTTCCTTCCCTTTACTGTTGGTTACCTGTATATTTTTATTTATTTCACTTTGCATAGTCTTCACTTTTTCCTCCATTTTGTGACCATATTCAACCAATTCTGTGAGCATCCTGATGACCAGTGTTTTGAACTGTGCATCTGATAGATTGGCTATTGTTCATCACTTAGTTCTATTCTTGGAGCTTTGATCCGTTCTTTCATTTGGGCCATATTTCTTTGTCTCAGCCTTCCTGTTACGTTGGAAGGGGTGGAGCCTTAGGTATTTGCCAGAGCAGGGCAACCCACATCATTGCCTTGTGACGCTGTATGTGGGGGAGGGGTCTGAGAGGGAACAATGCCACCTTCTGGGCTCCCAGCTGGCTTTCAGTCACTCCCCCCCCCCGCCCCGCCCCCGCTACCCACAAGCAAATTGGGCCTTTCTAGTGCTGATTCCCAGGTGGGTGGGTTTGTATACGTTCTAGGGCCCCTTGGGTCTCTCCAACAAACTGTCCTGTGAGGCTGGGAGTTTCTCCTGCTGCCGCAACCCCTGTAGGTTTTTTACAGCCAGAGGTTTTGAGGCTTTCTGTTCCCGCTCTGGAACCCTGGATTGCACGGTCTGTCTCGCTCCCCAACTGTTCCTCCTGGTTTATCCACACACAAATGTGGGACCGACAGGTCCACAAGCTGCCACCTGGCCTGCCTGGTCCCGCAGTCGCCCCCTTGTTGCACTTCCTCCCTGCCCCTGCTGCCCGCCTCCACCCCTCCTACCAGTCTGGATGAATGTTTCTTCTTTAACTCCTTGGTTGTTGGACTTTCATACAGTTCAGTTTTCTGGCAGCCTGGTTATTTTTTGTTTTAAATTTGTTGTCCTTTTGGTTGTTCAACGAGGCAAAGTGTATCTACCTACGCCTCCATCTTGGCTGGAAGTTGAGCTTGATTTTTTAAAAATCAATTACTATTACGTCTAGAGGTTATGCCGTGTTTTACTCGTCATTTCCCTGCAGTAGTACATTTTGGCTCTTTCCAAATTAGGATCATTATAAATAAGGCCACAGTGAACTTTTTTTTTTGGCACAGTTTTGTTTCATATTGCGAATTTTACCCTCAGGCTTCTCAGTGCCCTGCTTTACACTTGCTCCTTCACCTGCCTTGGGTTTTGGTGTCTTCTGTCAAATGGAGATGACAGTGTTGACCTCCTGGGATTGTGACTAGGTGAAGTGAGGCAATGCATAACCAGCCAGCCCCCATCCTGGGAGGCCTGGGGCCCCCTCCCCACTGGTGGTAGACACAGTGGGGAGTCTTATTCCCACCAAGCAGATGAGGCTTCTGAGGCCTGGAGAGGAGCCCAGGGTGAACATAGCCACTTGATCCCAGGTGTGGTGCTAGGAACTTCAGACACATTAACTGTGACCTTCCAAACAGCCCTGTGAAGTTAGCAGCATCATCTCCATTTCACAGATAAGGAAACTGAGGCAGAGAACTCAAATGATCTCTCCAAAGTTACACACTGACTTCAGGTTGAGGAGAACTAAGACCCGGCATCCAGTACTCAGCAGGCTTCTTACATGTCCATTTTTCCTCTCCTCTTTCTTTCTCTACGTCTAGAACTGTGACAGGGACCGAGTGGCCTCCACCCTCCGCTACTGCATGATGGTCAGCGGCATGGTGACTCTGGTGGCTGGGACACTCTGCTTCGCTTGGTGGAGTGAAGGGGATACAGGTGGTCAAGCCAACCCGTCGGCCCCACCCACTGCGCACCCCACGCCCGAGTCCCCCAGACCTCTGCTCAGGTCCATCAGCTTCTTCTGCTGCGGGGCAGGTGGCCTGCTGCTGCTCCTTGGGCTGCTGTGGTCCTGCAAGTCCAGCATCTGGGGGCCACCCCCATGGGACCCGTATCAGCTCTCCAGAGACCTGTACTACCTCCCTGTGGAGCCCTTGGAGAAGGAGAGCTTCAGGTTAGCAGGGACGGGGAAGGGTGGCAGGTTGGGGCCGCAGGTGGGGCACCATTACATCATCATGCATTTGCTCAGTCAACTCTCATGGCTTTCCTTCTCTGGACCAGGCTTTGTCTATGGCCTGGGGACTTCAAAGCTAGTCAGCACAGTCCTGGAGGAGTTTAAAGCCCCATGACAGAACAGAGTAGTTAGAGCTGTGAGAGAGGAAGAGAGATGGTCATGTGGAGATGTGGAGAAATCCAGGTAGGCTTCTTGGAAGAGGTGGAAGCTGAGCTCAGCATGGTATGGGGCAGAGTAGCACAGAGGTTAAGAGCCCAGGCTCAGGAGTCAGACTGCCTGGGATCCTCTCCTGGTTCTGCCACTAACTAGCAGTAGAACTTCAAGTAGATCATGCCACCCCACTGGCCCTCAGCTTGCCCACCTGAAATAAAACAGGAATAATAAAAACAGCAACAATAATAGCAAATACCTCTATGTATTTACCATGGTCCAGACACTGATTCAAGTACTTTTCTCATATTTACTGTTTTAATTCTTACAGCAGCCCTCTGAAGTAGATATGGTTATTAACTGTGTTTATAGATGAGGAAACTGAGGCACCAAGATGTTGGGTAACTTGCCCAAGGATACCCAGGTAGTTGTGTATCAGGGCCAAGATTTGGGCCCAGAGTCCATGCTCTCATCCACTCCCTGGCTCATGGGACACATGGAGAATTAAGTGAGATGACATGTATGTGGAACTTAGCTCCATGCCTGGCACACAGCAGGTGCACAGTAGAGGCCGACTTCCTCAAGGGCCTGAGGTGGCGAGAGGCAGTTTAGGCAGGCAGAAGAGCATGTGCAAAGGCTCAGGGGTGGGATGGGGGTCGGAAACAGACCCTTGCCTTAGACAGCATTTTTCAATCTGAATTTTCATTTTTACTCTCTCTAAGGAGGCTTTTAGGCATTTTTTTCTTAATTCTCCCCCATGAAATTTAAATACCGCAGATATACTCTGTATTTGTTTATGTTCTGTATGTGTATCTGTGCTTTATATCACCAAAATACCAAGAAACAATTTTTGCCCTGTTGAGAAAGTGAATTATGCCTGCACTTACATATTAATTCATTCAGCCAAGTATTGGGTATAGCTACATGTCAGGGGCCTGCATACATCTTCTCCAGTCCTTCTGTCCCTGAAAGGTAAGAACTGCTACTTCCCTTGGCAGAAGAAGAAGGTGGGGTTATACAACCAGAAAGTGGCAAAACCTGCTGGCTGCAAAGCTTGTGTCCTCCCGTGCCACTCCCTAAGGTTGGATATATTTGGGACTAAAACAGATATCTGTGAGCTGGCCTGAGACTTGGACCCCCTTTTTCCCTTAGTTAAAGGGGAAAATGTGCCCTGGCTTATGTGGTTCAATGGATTGAGTGCTGGCCTGCAAACCAAATGGTCGTCGGTTCGATTCCCAGTCAGGGCACATGCCTGAATTGTGGGCCAGGTCCCCGGTAGAGGGTGCACAAGAGGCAATGACACATTGATGTTTCTCTCTCCCTTTCTCCCTCCTTTCCCCTCTGTCTAAAAATAAATAAATACAAATTTTTTTTTAAGGGGGAAATGCATTCTGAGTTAAGGAATGTAACAGATTATTCCCACTGCTAGCTTGTGAATCCTTGAGGCCAGAGACAATTGGGTATTCAACAGAGGCCACTTACTCCAATGGTTGGGCCTTGGTTTGACCCGACAATTAGAGGGACGGGCAGGGCCTTGGGGACTCTCTAGCCAATTCTTCACTTTTCAGATGAGAAACCTGGGTCTCCAGAGAGACCAGTGATCTACCTGGACACATAGTGAGTCAGTGGTCAGTTGGAACTAGGCCAGGCCTCAGGGCACTCTGGCCCTGAGCCTGTCCCCACCCCACCCAGGGTGGCCTGAGCACAGTGAATGAGTGTTGTCTGTACACAGAGCCATGTTGACCCAACAGGGTCCAGGCCACAGCTACGGCACGGGGGCGGGGGGGGGGGGGTGGTCACCCAGCCTTCATCCTCCGCTGGGCCAGGGAGGAGGCTCACCAGGAGGCTGCAGAGTGCTCCTGGTTTGGAGACCCAAGTCTTCGATGTAGAACTGGGTGGCTGGGTGTCGGGGTTGGGGCTGCTTCTGCTAATGACTCTTCACTGTCCTTGGGGCTGACTCAGCCTAGCCCTGCTGCCTCTGAGACCAGCATCTGGCCCATGGGGAGGCCACTCTACTGCTCCTGTCCCAGCCACCTCGCTCCCCGGAGGCGCCTGGCTGTGGGTAAACCCAGGTCGGAGAGGCCTTCTAGGCTAATGGCTTGGCTGGATGGTTTCCCCTCTTGGACCTCACTCTCTCCAGTTACTTATCTACTTATTCTTTCATACGTTCACCCATATTTACTGAGCACCTACTGTGTGGTGGGTCCAGTGCAGGGCACTGACAACACAGCACTGGACAAAAACAGATAAAATCCCTGCCCTCTGGGGGCTCCCATCTTACGTGTGAGCCTCTGAATGAGGTGGCTAGACAGGAGACGCCCAGGGCCTCCGGCCTCAGTGGATACAGCGGAAAATGCATGGTCCTATTCTGACACGAGGGTTTCAGCCTCTGCTCTTTCTTTGATAAGCGGTGTGTCCTTGAGCATGTTCCTGAGGCTCTCTGAGCTGGGTCGAATTCCTCATCTGGCAGCTGGGGGTGACAGACCCTCTCCCTAGGAGTGCTGTTAGGCTCAGAGGAGATGATAGGTGGGGAAGTGCATACGCTGTAAAGTTCGAGCACACATCTTTCACGGTTGTTACTGTGCTTTACAGTTTACAATGTATTGTTATGCTCACTAACTGATTTGAGCCTCACTGCTCATAAGCGGAACAGCTTATGAGGTAAGTGAAAGGATTAGGCCCATTTATTACAGATGAGAAAAGTGTGGGGTGGAGAGATTGGGGGCTGGGCGGGGAGCGGTGTGCTCGGTGGAGTTGCCATGGGACAGGGTTGGGGCTTTGCCGCTTGGTTGATGTGTGACTTTGACTCATCTGTACAGTGGCTGAGAGCTGCTATCCCCCAGCGTTGTCATGAATGTAAAATAGATTAGAGGGCTTAGGTGTTGGGCAAGTAGTATTTCATGCTTGTCCCTTCCCCTTTTCCTACCGTGTTTGCCTGACTCAGCTGAGGGCGGAGGAGTCGGCGCCACGTCAGGTTTTCTGCCCCAGCCAGGCTCCAGGGAGTGGGTGCATCCCAGCCTCGGTGGGGCTTCCTGTGCAGGGGGACCATAGTGACAGCCCTCCCCACACAAGTGCAGGGTGCCACACCCAGAACACACCATCAACAGAGCCTTCTCCCAGTGGTCCCCAAGTTCTAACATCCTGGACCATGACAGTGGAGACTTGGAGCTGGGTGGGCCCAGCTGGTCCAGGGGGTGGCCCGAGGGCCACGTCCCATCTGCCCTTTAAGCAAACTTCCTGCTGCGGGCTCAGCTCACCTATGCCCTGCCCTGCCAGCTGTTAGCGACTGGGGTGGCCCCAAGCATAGCCGATGCCTGTGTCATATCTCCAGGGCTTGGAGAGGTGGAAGTGGCAGAGGTGTGGCTGAGAAGTGAGCAGGGCGGGAGATATGGAGCTCTGGAAGCCTTATTACCTACATTTTTCTGAGTGTTATCAAAGCTTTTTCCATTTTTCCCTGCCTTGAATCTATAAAATGAAAGTCATTACCCCCATTTTACAGATAAGGGCTGTGAACACAGTTTAGGTCACACAGCAATAGAGCCCACAGCAATAGAGCCCATAGCAATAGAGCCTGGCTCGCCTGCCTCCAGGAGCAATAATCTTTGCCTGCTCTCACCGGCGAAGGATGCTGGAGGTGCAAAGAAGGATGAGGTCCCTTATCAGCTTCCTCAGCTGAGAGCTCCTGGGCTGGCTTCCCGAGGAGGAGGGTCTATGAGAGATGTTTGCAAGAGCACTGGGTGGGGCGTGCCAGATTCGGGGCCTGACTGGTATCCTCCATCAGACTGGCACCCGGGCTGGGGGTCAATCCCAGGCCTCCCCAAACCTGCTTCATGACCCTGTCTGTGGCTGGAGCAGCAAGCCTGCCTCCTGGTGGGCCGTGCTGAGGACTGTGGTGGCCTTGGGCTCAGAAGACACATTGCCCAGAGACAGGCCATGTCCCCAGCGGGTGATGGGTGCTCACATGAGGGGCATCAGCAGGTTCCCAACATGGCAACCCCCCTGGGTCCTGGCGCAGAGTCCTGTCCACCTCCTCTTCTGTCCGCTGGGCCAGCCTCTGCCATCAGACACTCCCTTGTCTAGATAGGCAGGCCCACTGGTGTGAGCTGAACTGCTTCCCCACCAGCTCCAAACCCGTGGCCGTGGGTCAGTGACAGCCTCCCGGAGCCTGTGGAGGGCTTGCCATGCTGGAGATTTTCATGAATTTTGCTCCTCACGTACCTTCCTCAGGAGGACCTTTGACACTTTGTGACTGGCTGCTATTTACAGAGCACATGCCAAGGGCACCCCTGCATTATCTCATTTAGTCTGCACACAGTTCTGTGGGGGAGGGGCCATGATTGTCCCCATTGACAGAGGGGGAAACTGAGGCCCAGATGAATGGAGTTACTGACCTTGATCTCCCACGAGGAATGTGGCAGAGCAGGGAGTTGAACCAGCCAGTGCCCAGATTCATAACCATCCCTCGAGCAACTTGGGGTGGGAAGGGATCTTTACCTAGTGAAGATCATCTAGGCAGCCCCTGTACCTGACAGTATCATCCCCAAAGCAGAAGCAGTCCAGGCTTAGGGTGACACTCCCACCCCACGGGGTCCTCAGCGGAGAAGGGTAAGGGGTTCCCCAGAGGTGACGCGCTGGGGCCCTGAGAGGATGGAGGGCCGGTGTCGCTCGCATCAGCGTTGGTGTGGACTGCACGGGGGGACCTGTTCATGGAATCTAGCTGCAGAGCGTGGTCGGAGGAGCCTCGGAGGACCTGGTCTCTGCCTCGAGTCCCTGCAGGGTGGTTCATTTCTGGGAGCTGGGGGCCAGTCTCAGGAAAGCCCAGCCGTTCCGAGATAGGTGTGGTGGGCTTTATCTCGGGAGGTATACAAGCAGAGGCACACTTGGTGGACTTACCTCACTGGGGCCTCAGGCACCCAGGTGGGCGGGAGAATTGAGATCTTCCACCCAGCTCTGAGCATCCACACCCTGGCTCTCGTAGGAGATGTTACAGCAAGCTGGGAGGGAGCCTTTCTGCCCACGGACCATCACTCAGTCACTCAACAGACATCCCCAAGCGTCTGCCCTCAGCCCCGTGACACTCAAAGTCAGTCCCTGCCCTAGAAGACAACTAGGTGGGGTCAGTGGGGTAACAGAGCCCAGAGTAGGGAATGGGAGATTTGCCGGGGGCGGGGGGCAGGGGCGCTGCCAGTCAGGAAAGCTTCCCAGAGGAGTCTCAAGGGACAAGTTGGGAGTGACCAGCAGGGAAGGTGAGCGAGCGAGAAGGCCTTTCCCTGCAGAGAGAACCGAGGAGGCACAGTGAACACATGCGGGGAGGGCGCAGGGTGGCTCTGGCGGGAGCGCCGAGGTTGGCAGGGGCAGCTCGTGTCAGCTCCAAGTGTGTAGAGGGGGCCCGGGGGGCCTGCAAAGAGTTGGGACCAGGGCGTGCAGTCCTCCCTGCCCCCAGCCGTTGTCATTCTCTCCCTGGCATGCAGTCGGTTTTGCCCTTGCCCCTGCTAACAGCCTCTCTTCTCCTGCCCCATAGGACCCCAAAGCTGGTTGCCATCCCCACCTACGAGGAGGCGGTGCACTGCGCACTGGCTGAGGGGCCCCTGGCACCCCCTGCAGACCCCACGGGGGAAGACCGGACACGGAGTGCCTCCCGGGCTGCCCTGCTCGGAACCCAGCCCGCCTCGCCTCCGCCCAGCTACGACGAGTGCGTCGTCCTGGCTGCCGACGCTGTCCCTGGAGAGACAGTACTTGGTGCTGCCCCACCGGTTGAGGCCGCAGCAGGAGGAAGTTAAAGGTCCTCACCAGGCTCTGAATCCAGAGACAAATCCTGAGCTTCTTCTAGTGTCCAACACAGTGCCTGGTTCACAGTAGGCGCTCAATAGATGTTAGTTTCTCAATGCTGTTTTACTTACCTATTGCTGTGTAACAAATGGCCTAAAATAAATCCACTTTATTCTCCCTCCTGACTTTCTGGGTTGCCTGGGTCCAGCCGGGTAGTTCTTCAGCCCTATATGATGTTTGTGGGGCCCAGCTGGGCCAGAGCATGCAAGATGGTGCACTCTGTGGCTGGCAGTTAGAGCCACTGTCAGCTGGGAGGTTTCATTGTGCAGATGAGAACACTGGAGCCCTGAAACGGAGCAGGGACTGGCCAAGGTCACACACTGAGTGTAAAGCCGAAAGGATTTAGACTCTGCATTCAGACCACCTGTGCCTGGGTTCCACCATGCACCAGCTGATTGACCTTAGACAAGTGATTTTACCTCTTTTTGCCTCAGTTTCCTCATCTGTAAAATGGGAATTGGGAATCACAGCAGCACCAGCTCCTGCCTCAGAGAGCTGAGCGTGAGGATGAAATGAGATGACAGCAACTGACACTGAGCTCACATTGACTGTGCAGGCCCAGGGCTAATGCACCAAGTAAAAATGCAGATTCCTCAGCCCCGTGGCAAGTGTCTGTTAAGTATGCATTGATTGTCAGAGTTTCTTAGCAGAGGTAATGAGTGCAAATTCGCCAAGTGCAAATCCAGCTTCTGCTCCCGTATCTCCTGTGATGAGGTTGGCTCCCTCTCCTTGTTTCCAGATATGGCAGAAATGTCTGCTTTCTGTCCAGCTACATTCTGCATCCCTACCTCTCTCTCAACCCCATTCAAAGATGTGTAAACCAGCTCAGAGTTTAGGTATCCTTTTCAGGGGCACACAGCAAGCAGGGGTTCCAAGTCCTGGGGCTCGGCCAGCTGGGTAAGGGTGGCATTCTCCAATGGGCCTACTGTATGCTGGGGCAGGCCCACGGCATGGTTTCTTGTCCCCAAGCCTGTGCTGCAGCAGGTGATGCTCCCATTTAATGGAACCGGAGTGTCAGGGATGTAAAATCACAAAGAATAAAGGCAGAGCCAGTATTTTCATTGGGGTCTGGCTGGCCTTCTGCTGGGGATCCCCCCACTTAGACCTGGAGGTGCCCATCCAGCCTCCCTGCTTCTCCCAGGGCCCCCTGCAGTCCTTTCTCAGCTAGGAATGGGCTGATCAAACCCAGGTAGATGACATTCCTCCTGGGCTCAGGACCCTGAGAGGCTCCCGGCTCAGTCTGAATAATGAAATCTTTTACAGTGGGGTGGGTGGGGCCAGGACATCAGCACCCCCCACCTCCCGGTCTCTTCTGCCGTCAGTCCCACTGTGGGCCTTTGCACTTACTTTCCCTCTCTCCCTCCTGTCCTGGGCTCACTCCTCACCTCCCTGCACCTTTGTGCTGTCCCTCCTCAGGCCACTGTCCTTGACCGCTCTGTTTAAAACAGCCGCACCTAGCCTGCTGCGCTCCCGGCCTCCTTCCTGCCCTGTTTGTTTGTAATCCCATTTATAACACATTTAACATTTTACCTTTTTAAATTTGATTTTTATTTGTTTGTTTATTGTCTTTTTCTCTCCACCAGAATGCAACTTCTCTGAGGGCAGGAATTTCTTCCCGTTATGTTTGTATCCCTAAAGCCTATAAATGGTGCCTGGCATAAGGAAGCTGCTCAGTAGGTACTTGTTCACTGAACAAATGAATTAATGAATGTCAACTATTCTTATCAATGTTGGGCCCTCTCTCAGCCAGACCTCGTGGGTCTTCTGTGATCCTCCCCCTTCCTTCCCCATCATCAAAACCTGGATCCCCATCCAAGCCCCCTTCCCTTCTTCCCCTTCTCTCTTCTTCTCTCCTGTCTGTCTCTTGTCTTCAGAATGTAACCTTATCTGGAGATAGAACCTTTACAGAGGTGATGTGTTAACATGAGATCCTTGGGGAGGGACTGCTAACCCAGTATGAGTGGTGTTCTTGTAAAACTGGGCAATCTGGACAGAGGTTCGTGCAGAGGGAAGATGAGAATGGACACAGGGAGACAACCGCCAGGACAGGGGCCTGGAACAGGTCCCCGCCACTGCCACAGGCAGAGCTAGCCCTGGCAGCTCCTTGATCCTAGACATCCGGCCTCCAGAACTGTGAGAAGATCAATTTCTGTTGTTTAAGTTGCCTGTCCATGGTCTTTTGCTACAGAAGCCTCAGCAGACTAATACAGTAGGTGGATGAAACCGGTGTGTCTCCCTCAGTCTCACTCTGTCATCACATCCAAGGGCATTGGCTAGGAAACTCTAGGGCCAGAGTCCTCAAAACTTGGCTCTTGTCCACCCTGAACTGTGGCCAGTAGAATTCACCACGACCTCAGGCCAGTGAAGCAGCTCCATTCAGACAAGGAGGACAGTAGAGTGAATGCAACTCACTCATCCTGGTGATTAGAAATAAGCAAGGGGTTTAACGTACTTTTGTTGTGAAGCCTACAGCAGTGCTCTGCCTCACTCTTAAAATGAGCCTCACGTCTAAGAAGCACAGCACGGCTTGGAGGAGCAGTGTGCCTTCCGCAAGCATTGGCCTCGCTGTCGGACCCGGGTGGCCGGCCATCCTCTCATCCACTTCAGAGTTCTAAATTCTTTCCCCTGCACTTCGCAGTGTAACGGATAAAAATTGTAACCACCTCCAGTGCCTCCCTGGAGTGGAAGGGAGAGACAAACCATTGCTTAAACATTCCATCCTCACTGAAATGTCATTTGTCCTCACCCAGTGGGCTGAGGACTTGCCCTAAATTCAGCATCTTTATGCTGTTCAGACGGGGCACCCAGCAGAGAAGCAGCTCCCTACAAGGAATTAACCAAAAGGGTCTGTTTGCTTCCTTTTTTGTGTTTGTATTATTTGTGTTTGCTTCCTTTGCTTGAAAGGACTCATGTCCCTTCTTGGGGTTTATTTCTTTCATTATTTTTCGGCTGTGATCAGCTTGATTTCTGACATAGCGGCAGCCTCGGTTCAAGAGATGAATGCAGCTGATTTGGTAGATAGAATGCTAATCTTTTCTGTGTGGATTGTCAGTTTTTGAGAGGTAATTGAAGATGTCTTTATCCCATAATTTATTTTGACTAGATTTGACAGTAGCCAGGTTGAGCCTTTGGTTATGTCCTCTCATCTCATTAGCTGGAGGCTAATGCCTCTGATGCTGGTTGTGAAAACAGAACGTATTTCTGAGAGCTTTTGTGACAAAACATCGGCTGTAGATTTGCAGTTAAGCCAAGTGTTTATGAAGCTGCTAATCAGTGAAGTGGGCTTTCCTCCTTGAGGTCTGCCTTGCTCTGGTCTCTTTGGTCCGGCAGAGAATTCTGTTGGTCCAGCAGAGGACTCTGTGGGTAGGAATTTCTTTCAGAGAGAATTCCCTTGGTTCCAAAGAAGACTCCATTCCACAAAGTAAACTTGATGTCTGCTAAGCAGGTGCCAGCCAGAGGCACTAAAAAATGTATTTGTTAAACTATATTTTGCTTCAGAAACCACTGAAAAATTTTTTTACACTTGCTTTATGTATCTCTTTTTTTAAAAAAAAATTTATTTATTTACTTTTAGAGAGAGGGGAAGGGAGAAAGAGAGGGAGAGAAACATCAATGTGTGGTTGCCGCTCGTGTGCCCCCTACCGAGGACCTGGCCTGCAACCCAGGCACGTGCCCTGACTGGGAATTGAACCAGCGACCCTTTGGCTCACAGGCCTGCTCTGAATCCACTGAGCCACACCAGCCAAGTGTATATCTCTTTTTAAAAATTTATATATATAAAATACACGTGCAAAAACATGTACACATAAACACAAACTTGGAGCTCACTAACCCTTACATTCCTTAGTGTCTTTATCTTGAAAGAGTGTTTTCAAAAATGAGTTTAAATGTTTCCACTTTAAGCCCTTAAGGAGCTCACTGTCCCCCCATCGTTGCTGAGTGGAGAAGCGCCCACGTCAGAGATGCCCCCGCAGAGCCCAGGGCAGGGCCCCCGGACTCTCTCGCTGTAGCCTCCACCGTGGTGCGGGCGTCCTGAGCCCTGCGTGTGTGATGAATGAAATCTCGGGCCCATCTGTGTTTGCACAGGCAGGAATATTAAGTAGCGCCTGCGCACCCTCAGGATAAAAAATTGTCTGGGCTTGTGGGAGCAATTTGCCTAAGGAGAGTTATTTTAGAAATTCTTGCAGTGGCTTTAGAGGAACTGAATTCATAGTGGTTTTATTTCAAACACTTGTTCTTCCTAAACAGGCATAATTCAGGGTCAAGGTTGTAGGGCCCACGGATATGGGGACACAGCTGATTTTGTCCTGTGCCACTTCTCTGCACACATGGTGCATTAGCTGCGTGTGTGTTAAGAACGTTCGCTACCCCTGGGTCTTGCGTCTTCCAGCTGCGGTCCCGATGATGACACGAATGCCAGGTCAGGGGTATGTGGGATGCCGAGTCAGAGTGACATAAAATGTTGCGTCATGGTGTCTAGAATGTCGAGTCACAGGGACACAAGTGCCAGGACTCCAATGCTGAGTCAGTTGTGCAGACTTCCCGATTCTGACAGACTTTTATTGATAAACCATCTTCATTTTTCTTCCACAGTCCTCGGAAACACATTCTATTTCTCAGTGCAAAGCTGCCTTGTCCTCACAGAGCCTTTGAGCTGAAGCCTTTGTCTGATTGGGTGTCAGGGGAAGGACTCAGAGTCCCGTGCTCCGTGCTCCGTGCATTCCCTCTCTTCTGAGACAAGCAAAATGCGCTCCACCCGCCGACCCCCCGCGGCCCCCCCGCCCCCCCCCCTCCCAGGCTCTCCCTGACAGTGCTTTTCATCAGGGCTTTCACTTCCTGGGCCTCCTACACCTGGGGAAGGGCTGCTCTCGGACCTCGGACAGGGTCAGCACCAATACTAAACACTTAGATGGGCATCGCACGCTAGCCCTTGATTTATGGGACTGGAGCTCGGTGCAAAGCTTTCCAATGGAGCAGCAGTCCCTCCGGGCTTCTGGCCACCACGGAATGGGAATTCTTGGTTGTGTTGTCTTTGTTCCAGCCTGACACCTTAGTCTGTGCTGCAGAGAGTCAAGACTCACTGGCTCGTTCCTTAATC